AAACCTACGGACAAAATACCCCCAAATATTACCAACCCCACCCCCCTACCCCCTTCCCAAAATACTCCAAAAACGCCCACTGGCCCCCGTCCCCGCCTCGCTCCCATTGGCCCTTGTTCTCCACCCCCGCCCAGTGACTCCGTGGTGTCGTTCGTGAATGGTCGTACCGGGTGGGAGGTCCCGCCCCCGCCGGCCGGAGCTCCGCCCCCCCGGTGCTCGCTGTACCTGGCGGCGATGCTGCAGCTCGGGCTGGTCCGGGTGTACGTGCGGCAGTGCGGGAACCTGCTCGGTACGGGCTGTGGGGGGGGGGGCTTCAGTGGGATTTTGGGGGGGGGGGGTTCCCGGGCGGGAAAGTTGGGATGTTTGGGGGATCCTGGGGGGGGGGTGGGGGGTTGTTGGGGAACGCTGGGAGGTGTTTGGGGTGTTTGGGGGTCCCGTTCCAGCCGCAGCTCCTCCCCCGCCCAGAGGATGCCTCGCAGATCCTGGACCGGCTGCACCGCGCGCGGCCCCCGCTGGTGGAGATCGACATGAGCCCCTCCCGCCGGTCAGAGACCCCCGAAACAACCCAAAATACCCCAAAACACCCCAAAACGGCACCTCTGAAACCACCCCAAATGCCCTCAAAACAGATCGAAACAGCCCTAAGCCACCCCTTAAACGTCCAAAAGTACCTCAAAGCACACCCAAACCACCCCAAAATACCCAACAAACAAAACGTCCCACAACACCCCAAAACCACACCTAGAGACCCCAAAACTACCCCAAAACCACCGCAAAAAACACCCTCAAACCTCAAAAACCAACACAAACCACCAAAAATCCATCCTGAAATACCCCAGAAACACCCTCAAACCTCCCCAACCCCCTCTGGGACCCCTAAACCCCCCTGGGACCTTCCAAACTTCCTCAGGGAGCCCCTAACCTGCCTCCAAAGCCCCCCCAACCCCTCTGCCTCACTGGTACCCCCTCGAGGTCTCACCTGTGACCCCCCAAGCACCTCCTGAACCCCTTTTTCCCCCCAGGACCCAGCTGCTCCCCGATACCCAGGCTCTGATGGTGCAGCTGGAATTGGCCCCCGACCCCTTTTTTGGGGTGATGGGAGTGGAGCTTCCTCAGGTACTGCCCCATGATAGTCCCATAGTGACCCCACACTTCCCCATTTTCCCCAAATTTCCTCAAATTTTCCCGAGACTTTCCCAAATTTGCCCAATTTTCCCTCAACTTCCCCATTTTTGCCCCACTTTACCCCAGATTTCCACAATTTCCCCATTTTTGGTTCTGGGTGGGTGTGGCCACTTCCCACAGCCATAGTGTTTGATTGGAGGAGCTCTGGGGCAGGGCCTGGTTGCCAGGTTCCTGCCCAGAATTGCCTAGAACTTGCCCAAAACTTCATTGAATTTGCCTCAAATGTCCCCATTTTCCCTGCAGAATTTCCCCATTTTTCCTCAGTTTCCCTCAAATTTCATCGGTTTTCCAAAATTTCCTCATTTTCACCCTAATTTATCCATTTTTATCCCAGTTTCCCAAAATGCCTCCAAATGTGGCTCAGTTCCACGAGTTTGCCCAAAAATTCCTTGAATTTGCCCCAAATTTCTCCATTTCTGCCTCAGTTTTCCTCAGATTTCATCAATTTCCCCGTAATTTTCTCGGTTTGTCTCTAATTTCCTCATTTTTGCCTAAATTTGCCTAATTTTTCTCCAGTCTTTCCCATCTTTGCCCCCAGTTCCCCAAATTCTCCCCAAAATTCTCCATTTTTGCCCAAATTTCTCAAAATTGTCCACAGATTTCCCCATAGCGACCCCAGGCCAGTTTAGACTGGTTCATACTGGTTCATACTGGTCTGTGCCTCCTCCACACAGGTAGAGGAGCTCCTGCCCCCACCCATTGAGATCGAGTTCCCCCGAGGTGAGCTCTGGGCTGTACTGGCCTGTACTGGTTTATACTGGTGGGGTTAGGGCGGGAAGGGGGATGGTTGTTGGTCTGTTCTGGTCCATACTGGATTGTGGTGGTGGGCTCAGGAGGTTTAGGACTCGTACAGAGGTTGTATGTGGGTGGTCAGTGGTCCATACTGGTTTATACTGGTTGGTACTGGTCTGTAGTGATCCGTACTGGTGGGTGCAGGGAGCTTTGGGGGGGTGAATGCCCGTCTGTAGTGCTCCCCACTCTGGACTGGTCTGTGCTGGTCTGTCCCCCCAGGGCCCCCCGTGACGGTGTCCCCCGAGTACATCACCCTGCGGGAACCCGAAGTTCCGCCGCTGCCGCCGCCCCTGGAGGTGCCACAATTTGGGGTTCTGGGGGGGCCTGGCTGTCACCTGGGGCTCCCTGGGCATCAGCTGGGGGGCACTTGGGGATTGCTGTGGGTCTCTGGGGGGTCCCTGGGGGTCTTTGGGGGTACCAGAGGTAATCTTTGGGTCTCTGGGGTCAGGAGGAGCTGCCTGAAGTGACCCCCAGAGAGCTGCAGCTGCTGCTCGAGGCTGAGGCCGAGGAGCTGCTGCCCCCGGGTGAGGGGGGCACTTGGGGGGTGAGGGGGGGCTTGGGGGGCAAGCAGGAGGGGGGGAGTTGGGGGTCATGGGGTACTTGGGCATTGGTTGGGAGGAGTTGGGGGACACTTAGGGGTTTCTATGGGCATTTCTGAAGCATTTGGGGTCACTTGTGGGGCAGGTGTTGGGCTGGGGGATTGTGGGCACTTGGGGTCACTTGTGGGGCTGGGGGGGGGCACTTGAGGGACAGGAGAGGGGGTGGGGGACCCTTGGGGGTCTGTAGGGTCATTTGAGGATCTCTGCCCACAGTGGAGGAACTGGAGGAGCTGCCGGCGCCACCCCCCATCCCCCGTGAGACTTGGGGGGCACTTATGGGATGAGAGCACTTAATGGGTCTGGGGGCAATTATGAGGTGGGAGCACTTGTGGGGATGGGGAGGCACTTGTGGGTCTGAGGGGCATTTGTAGAGTGGGAACACTTATGGGTCTGTGGGGGCACTTTTGGGGTTGGTGGGGTACTTATGGGGCTGTGAGCACTTCTGGGGCAGGTGTCCCCCCCCCGGAGGAGCCCGCCCTGCCTCCCCCCATTCCGGAGGTCCCGGTGCGTCGCCGCATCCCCCGTCGTCGCCTCCCGCCCCACATGGACCTCGTGCCCCACATCTCCCCCAAGCTGTTCCGGGCACAGCTGCTCCAGCCCCAAGCCCACTGTCAGCCCCTGGTGAGTGGGGGGGTTCTGACCCATAGATCTGCCCCATAGATCCCCCTGCCACGTAGATTGCCCCATAGATACACTCTGGCCCATAGATCTCTCCTGCTCCATAGATCTGCCCCATATATCTGCCCTATGCCCACAGATCTCTCCCTGCCCCATAGATCCATCCCATAGATCCCCCTGCCCCATAAGTCCTCCCATAGATCTGCTCTATAGATTGACCCATAGATCCCATATTTCCCCCATAGTTCCCCTACGTCATACATCCCCCTATAGATCCCCCCGACCCATAGATCCACCCTGACATGGGTGGATGCCTCCCTGCCCCATAGATCTGCCCCATAGACCCCCTGTTCCCCATAGATCTAGTCCAGAGGTCCCCCTGCCCTGTACATTAATACACAGATCCTGTCTCTGCCCCACAGGTGCTGCTGGAGCCGCCCCACAGGTTCCGCCGCCCCCCAAGTGAGCTCCTGAACGCCCCCACCCACGGTGAGACCCCCACAGC